GTGTGTGTGTGTGTGTGTGTGTGTGTGTGTGTGTGTGTGTGTGTGTGTGTGCGCGCCGTCAGGAAGTGGTCGGATCCGCTGAGGTTCTTCCTGCAGAACCTGCAGACTCTTGTTGCCGTGGCGACAGCGGAGCGACGACCAACACAACAGGGGATGTGGAGGCTGACAGGAACAGGAAGTGAAGGTCACAGAGACCTGCGGGCGTGTGAGCCGGTACCGTGTGGTTACAGGTTCTCTTCTTTACATCAGCTTTTATTGTTGAACTCCTTTAACTTATCAGCAGGAGTTTCATTTATCAGCAGAAAACTAATCTGTTCACATGGATTCACCTTTAAGTCTGTTCTGTCAAAATAAAACTCCAAACCTTTCAAACTTAAAGGTTATTTAAAGTTCTTTCTCGTTCATTGTTCAAATCTACAATAAATTCAGTTTAAAATGGAAACTTGTTAAAATAAATGATCATCACAAGAGAAGCAAGAAAACAAAGACAAAATGAGATGAAATGAGGGACACGAGGCATAAAACAAAGACATGCGGAGACAGATGAGACATGAGACAATAAGGACAAAACGTAGACGAGGAAAGGGAACGCGTTTACTGAAGTCGATTTAATAAAAAAGCACAACGTTTTGATGTAAGGAGAGCCGAGTGCATTTTACTGAAAAAATTAAATGAAGTTTTGTTAATAAAGTTAAATATTTCAAAAAGTATAAAGTTAAAAAATAAATACAGGTCTTGGTACGAGCTGCACATTTAAAGTTAGAGCCCAAAAACAACATTATAGTAGATTAATTTATACCGGTCGTACGGTTGAAACGTAACAAAGTGTTTTTAAACAAGAACGTTTCTGAATTAAATAAAACGCTCTGATGAATCTGAGGAGCATCGTCTCCTTCACGTCAGATCCACAGTTAACGGCTCGACGTCTGAAAACCTCTCTGTCCACACGTAAAACTGAACGTGCGGACCTGCCGGTGCCGTTTGGGTCTCGGTCCGGTGGAGTCGGGTCTCGCACACGGAGCCTGCGGGGACGGGTCATGTGACCGCTCACGAAAGTCCGTTCAGACAGACCCTCCTGAGGCCGCGTTTCAAATTTAGATCCTGCCGGCGTCTGTTTGAGAGTCCACTCCCACAATGCATCTGAAAGTCCGGGCAAAGCATTGTGGGAGTTGGTGTTTTATAATTAGACACGTTCCTCTGATGCTAACACAAAACACCACAGGTCTAAAACTGAGGACACGTCAGGAACGTTCTGTCTCTGATCGTCTGAACTGGACTTCGTCTCTTCGTTGTCTCGACCTCTGAGACGACCACGTCCGCTGCTCCAGACATGTCAATAAAACTGATGGACAGAGGGACAGTCCCTCAGGTTTGGACATCAAAAACACGTTCATCAGCCGAGGAGCTCCAGTGAAACACAACTGGACTTTTTCTTGTTTCACCTCTAAGCTGAGCGGGTTCTGCGGTTCTGAGCGGGTTCTGCGGTTCTGACCGGCGAAGAGTTTGAGCGCTCGTGGAGGACACATCTCACTCTGCGAGACAACAACAGGACGCCTCGGATCCAGAGGCAAACGGTGAACGACTGATTAGACGGGAGAACCAGGAACGTTCCTGACAAACATCTGATGTTCTCGTCTTTGGACGCACGGAGGAACAAAAGAAACACCTGAAATCTGAGCGTTAATAAAACCAGTTACAAATCTGCCCCCCCCCCCCAGGAACGTCCTCGCCCACCGCTGAAGGTGACCCGTGTTCATTAATCGGACGTTTCACGGTGAACTTCGGTTAAAACAAAGCTCTCTCATGGCCTGTGTGCGTTGTCGATGACCCTCAGCTACTACCACAGCAGATTTCAGCTCATGTCTGTGAAACGGTTTTTCTGTTTGATCATGATGATGAGCTGTGGCGGCCATGTTCCAAAACAAAATAATAATAAAATAAGACTTATTGAAACGGCCTGAACAGAAAGAAAGGCTCGTCGATGAGACAGAACAAGAACTCTGGACCCGACCGGGTCTGGGGTTTCAGCTGAACGTGCTTGCAGAACGTCTGTCTCGCTGCGCCTTCGTCTGAAGGTCGCTGCAGTTTATCCAACTGTTACACAACCACCCACTGCGGAGGGAAGTGGGGCGCGCTCACCAGCGTTTCCATGGCAACAGGGAGAGCAGCGTCCCTCCTCCAGCTCTATAGATAGAGAAGACTAACATGGATGGCTGTCTGGTTTCTGACCTTTGACCTCCTCAAACATCCATCCAAAGACCACGGTCTGAACCAATCAGAGGCTGCTTGTTGGAGGAATTTATTCCTTCATTTTTGGAGCCTCTGAGTAAAGACACATTCAGACTGGAAGAGCTTGTTGTAAAACTTTAGTTTTCTGACCAGCATTCATTTAGGGTCTCGCACTGAGAACAGCCCCAGTGTGACCTCGTCAGGAGCGCCTATAAACCTTTAATTTGGATCAAACCACCACATGTGGGTCTTAAAACATCAAAGGTCTGTCCATTTTCCTGCAAAGCTAAAGTGTAGATTTAAAACCATGTCACTCGCCAGCAGAGCTTCATTTGTAAACCGGTCGATGCTGGAACACAAATGGGGGGGGGGGGGGGGTTGTACTTCCCTAGAAACTTTTGAGTAAAGTAGATGTGATTTCCTGCATCTTGGTGTATTTTAACGGGTTGTTAAACATCTACGTTTACCTCCATTTGTAAACGCTCCCATCCTAAACCCCCCCACCCGCCCCCTTCCTTGTCGGTTCGGAGCGGACTCCTCTCTGAATTCACTGTCCGACTCCACATGCGAGGCACTCTGTTAGCAAACACTTTATCCGTTAGTATAAATGATGTAACGTGTTTGTTTCACGTAAAGATTGACGATGAAGCATCATCCAACAAGTTGTGTGGACTCTGATTCCACCGCGCGTGTTCACAAGAGAAGAACCTGACAAGTTGTTTAATGACATAAAATATATTAAAGAATAGAGTCCTAACATTTATTAAACATTACTTCTGTATTTACAGGAAAAACATCAAAATAGTGCTTTGACAAACTCCTCGATAAAACTAAAAAAATGTTAACGTGAAAAAGGAAAGAGGGAGCAGGTATCACTCCGAGTTTGAGTTTATAGAGAGCGTCATGAAAACATCAGCAGAGGTGTCGGAGTCATTTATTATTGTCTCAGCAGCAGAGGGGAGCGACACCGTTCAAGCATGGCTCCCCAAATCAGTTGACACGTAAGTTTTATTTGTTCAAGGCTGGCATGTGATCAGAACTTTAATTAGAAAGCCTGAGAGTTGCCAGATCCCAGCAAACAGTTGCTGGAACGCACCCTGTAAAAATAAGAGCGCTCCCAGATTTTGTTCCGACAGGATCCGGCTCAAATTAAGCCCTGCTCACCACGTAACCAAGGTAACCACATCACTCACTATAAACTACTCACACTAGGACTAAGCCCCTCCTATTTGCAACTGGGTCCTGGACTTCTTAACAAACAGACCACAATCAGTGAGGATCCACAACTTCTCCTCCTCCACCATAACCCTCAGCACTGGCTCCCCTCAGGGATGTGTGTTGAGCCCCCTACTGTTCACTCTGCTCACGTATGATTGTGCAGCTACCCATCCAGGATGTCACATTGTAAAGTTTGCAGATGATACAGATGTGGTGGGATGCATCACAAACAATGATGAGTCCAGCTACAGGCAGGAGGTGGAACACCTCGAGAGCTGGTGCAGGAAGAACAACCTTCACATCAATGTGAAGAAGACGAAGGAGATGGTCGTGCACTTCAGAAGTAAGAAACACACCTACATCCCCCCTCCCCCTCAACATAAGAGGATGTGCGGTGGAAGTGGTCTCCAGCTACAAGTACTTGGGTGTGCACCTGAACAACAACCTCAGCTGGAGCAACAACACCACCAGCCTGATGAAGAAAGCTCATCAGAGACTCTACTTCCTCAGACGGCTGAGACGAGCTGGTCTGGAAGCTCAGTCCTCACCTCCTTCTACAGGTGTGCAGTGGAGAGCATCCTGTGCTCCAGCATCAACGTGTGGCATGGAGGCTGCACAGCTGCAGAAAGAAAAGCTTTGCAGAGAGTGGTGAAGGCTGCACAGAAATCTGTTGGAATCAGTCTCCCCACCATCACAGACATCTACACCTCCAGATGCAGGAAGAGGGCCACCTGCATCATGAAGGACCACACTCACCCAGCACACACACTTTTTGCCCAGCTCCCCTCAGGAAGGAGGTTGAGGAGCATTAAGTGTAGAACCACTAGACTGAGGAACAGCTTCTACCCTGAGGCTGTTAGACTCATGAATCTCTAACCAGGAGAATCACTGTGGAAAAAAAAAAAGTAAAAGCCACTGTAATGCCACTGATTGGTGATGTGCGACTTTCTGTGCTGCTGATTATCTCATGTTGCTGATTATCCATGCTGCTGATCTCATTCATACCTAACTGCTCACCATGGACTCATGTTCAGGCTGCTGTTGTTACGATGTGCCGTTTTACATTATTAGTGTTTGACGTATATCTTGGATTTTTAGCGTACCGTTTGGCGTACGTCTTGGTGAATATCTTAGATCCTTGTTGAATGTTTCTTTTTATATATTTATTTGGAAATTTTGGGTGTAACTGGGACCCTGTGTACATAATTTCGTTCCACCTCATGTACCACATGAGACGGTAATGACACTAAAATTGACTTGAACTTGAAAAACATGGTAACCACGTCACTCACCACAGTAACCATGGTAACCACGTCACTCACCACAGTAACCAGATATCTGGCAGACACAGCAACGTGTTCCAGCTGCAGCTCGTGGTGCATTTGTGGCAGCAGGTTGAAGGTTTGTTCGGCAGCGAGCTCGTGGTGGATCAGAGACCCCGTTGGAGCCGTGGGGAGCTCTTCAGCTAACTGGGCCAGGTTCTGATGGTGACGACGACGATGGCGATGGTGGTGATGGTAGCGTTGGGCGTGGGACTCCGGCAGATTGTCGACATCATACTGAGAGAAGAGAGATGGAGGACGGCGAGTAGGAAGCGAGCCACCTGCAGAATATTCTGAGGAGAGAAGGATGAAGAGGTTCTGATCAGTTTGTTAACGAGCAGCTCATCAAGAAGCAGAGACTTTACGGGACTTTATCAGATAAATGTTGAAGGTTTGTGTTGATGGACTGATTCAGCAGGGTGTCAGAAAACATGTCTTCTCTGTTTGAAACTGCAGGCAGAAGTCTATTTTAAACACGCCGACCTCGAACGCATCATATCCCTGAGCGAGCACAGCAGGAGATCCATCTGTTGGAACGGGTCTGAGGGAAGTCCTGAACCCAAACGTCACTGAATCATTCATTCACCTGCAGCAGCTTCATGTTTCCAGAAGCTCAGCGGGCCCGGAGAACCCAACAGAACCGATTTAATTCAAGAACAAAACTCAATCAGAACACGACAGAACAAGCAGCAGCAAAATAACCTGAAACGGTCACACTGTAGAAACCTGGACCTGACCGGTTAGGATTCCAGAACTAGACCAAAGAGGAATAGGAGCATCTAGACTGTTGGCTGAAAGTCCAAACGTCTGGTTCTGGGATGATTTTAGGCTTGGATCGGGTTCTGGGATGGGTCTAGGATTGGAACTTTATGTAGTGGGGGTTCTGCACTTAGATCATCAGGGTTCTGTAAAAGTTCTGGGACTGGATCAGGTGGTGCCTTTAAAGGACCACAACTTTTCATGGGACATCAGAACGTTTTTAATGTCAAACCTCTGATCATATTCCAGAAGCTGAGGAGGACAGAGAGGTTCTGACCCGACTCCAGGACAATGCCTTTCTGTTGGACATCTGAAGACAACACCTGAAACTTCATCACCTGGTCGCCTTGGAAATGTCCCCGAGTGGGAAGAACTGGAACCAGAACTGGTTTTTGGGACCGTGTGGATTTTGATGTGGAGTTCCGTCTCAGTGAGATGAAATAAATCGAAGGACGAGTGTCTCGTCTTCCTGGTAAAGCTGAGAACATCAGCAGGTAGAAGCAGAAGTCAGTCGGTCCTCTGAGACGCCGTGAGGCTGACTCGGCGTCTCCTTCTGTCCGTAGCAACAGCGTCCTGGTTGCTACGCCCGATGCTGAGCAGAGTTCTGATTGGACAGAACCACCTCTGAGGATTCTGGAACCAGAACTGGAAACATTTTCAGTCAGATGTGTCTGTAGACAAACACCGAGGCAGGATCCTTTGTTTATTTTCATTTGATAAACTGTATGTGCATGCATGCGTGCGTGCGTGCGTGCGTGCGTGCGTGTGTAAATTGAGTAAATAATAAATCTGATCAGGGATGAGAACACAAACCAGCTGACGGTGGTGGTTTTATGTACAGTGAAATCCTCGGGCTGAAATCTGTAGAAAGTGCTGGAAGCTCCGTCTGCTCCTCTCCTGTAATCAGCATCGCAGCTGCTTCTCGCAGCTGAATCATCATCACAAGAAGCTCAGTTTGGCTCACAGTTCCTCCATCTGCTGACCACATGACGGATCAAATGTTCTCTACCTTATTGACGAAGAAAGACCAAAAACTCATGTGGAATAACAATTATTCCTCCTCACAACAAAAATAAAGAAACACACCATCTAATGGAGATAAACAAAGAAGCCAGAGACAGAAACTGGATGTGAAAGCATGGTCGGTCCATCCCGCCATCTGTCCATCCATCATCTTCTGCTTGTTCTGGACTCAGGTCTCGGGGGCAGCAGCTTGAGCAGGTCCAGACATCTCTCTCCACAGCCTCTTCTAGCTCTTCTGGGAGGACTCCAAGGTGTTTCCAGACCAACCGAGAGACATAGTCTCTCCAGTGTGTCCTGGGTCTTCACCGGGGTCTCCTCCCAGTCAGACATGCCCAAAGCACCTCCGTAGGGAGGCGCCCAGGGAGCATCCTTACCAGAGTTCATGACCAGAGGTGAGGGGAGGAACGTAGACCGACCAGTAAACAGAGAGCTTTGTCTTACAGCTACTCTGAGCCGTTAGCCTCCTTTTCTCAGCTGTTAGCCTCCTTTTCTCAGCTGTTAGCCTCCTTTTCTCAGCTGTTAGCCTCCTTCAATGAGCTGTTAGCCTCCTTTTCTCAGCTGTTAGCCTCCTACTCTGAGCCGTTGGCCTCCTTTTCTCAGCTGTTAGCCTCCTTCAATGAGCTGTTAGTCTCCTACTCTGAGCCGTTGGCCTCCTTTTCTCAGCTGTTAGCCTCCTTCAATGAGCCGTTAGCCTCCTACTCTGAGCCGTTAGCCTCCTTTTCTCAGC